CTCCAGACCCTTCCCCAGCTCCGTCGCCCGTCTCTGGACCCGCTCCAGCCCCTCAGTGTCCTTCTTGTGGGGAGGGGCCCAAACCTGACCCCAGGATCCAAGGTGCGGCCTCACCAGTGCCGAGGCCAGGGGCACAATCCTGCCCTGCTGCTGCTGGCCACACTCTTGCTGATGCAGGCCAGGATGCCGCTGGCCTTTTCTGCCGGCCACCTGGGCACGCTGCTGGCTCATGTTCAGCCAGCTGTCGACCAGCACCCCCAGGTCCCTCTCTGCTGGGCAGCAGAATCACAGAATCCAGCTGTGAACCTCCCGCTGCCGGGTCTAATCCAGCGCCACTGCTGCCCCCAGGGATTGTGGCTCCCACCTGGTGGTCCCCGGGATGCAGCCTTCACCCAGGGGAGAGCACGGGCAGGATGCTGCGTCCTGCTGATTCCCTGTGGTGTCCTTCCTTCCCAGGAGGAGATCCAGGAGGTGAAGGAGGAAGGAAACCTGGATGCGCTCTTTAATTCACTGGATAAGATCGAGGAGGAGGCAAAGAGCCAGGAAGAGCCGGCGTGGTACGGGTGGTGCTGTGGACGGCAGCCTGGGGAGCGCGTGTGCGGGGAGGCGCATTCCTCCAGGGCAGGATCAGTCCCGGGGGGTGTTTGGGTCACGCTGGGGAGTCCTGCAGGCTGGTGTCACAAAGGAATGTTTTAAACTTCAGGTTGTTGCACCTAAAACATCTGAAAATAAGTTTTATCTGTGCTTCCTCAGCGTAAGGAGAAAGTTAGTGCCCCTGAGACCAGAGGGGAGGTAAACTCAAAATAATTCCAAATAATTCAAATCACCGATCGCGTGTTTTAGCCACAGCTGAACTCACATCAATGCTTCTTGGTTGGATGCCTTGCTCAGGGGCTCGGCAGGCGCTGGGAGTTGTCTGCGCTGCCTTTTGTTTGCCTGAAAGGCATCCTGGGTCTTTTTAATCAAAAGCATCATAAAGATTTCTTGTTTCTGTGTTTGGGGAAGTGAATTACGTCCTGCCTGAGTTTTGGGAGGACTCTCCATTCCTTCACGGGTGGCGTTAGGGGGTTCCAGCTGTCCTCAGGCCTCCAGTGCCTGAGGGAAATCCCTGGAGTCGCTTCCGGTTAAGGTTTGGGGGAGTAATTTCTGCGCGAGACGGTTGCTTTCTGGTTACTTCACATCCCGATTGTTCGCAGGCGTCCCAGTGGGATCCCGGAAGAGGACGTTCGCAGCGCCGTGGTGCCGTACCTCCTTAAGCACCGGGCGTACTTGCAGAAAATCCTCAAGGAGAAGGAGAAAGAGAACAGGAAGGCAGCGGAGTCTGTGCTGGCGGGGCGGGACAGGATCGCGGAACTGCAGCAGCTGATAGAAGCTCGCAAACGCGCCTGGCAGGTGAAAATGAGAAACGGGCAAATCCAACCCCCTTCTCTTTGCAGCATCGGTCTGAAAGAAACTCTTCTGCGGCTTGGCTGGCAAACGGCTGCGCTGTGTTTATGCCTTCTGCTTATCAACGGCCTCGCCGGGAGCCACAAACGGCTGCAACTGCCCCGGGCGTCTTCCCTGGGGGTCTCGGGTGCTTCTCCCGGTGCCCTGGGTGGGATGTTTCTGGGAGGTCGGTGGGGGGTTGTATTCTGCACACGCTGGGGACAGTCTGTACTGTTTTATATCAGCCTGCTTTGCGTCCCCAGCTCTGGCATCTGTGGAAAAAAGTCCTTTGCTGAGTCCAGTGATGATTATTTCCCCTCCAGGCCGTTTGTAAAGAGCAACGAGAACTCCTCATGACGTTCCAGGAGCCCCAGTGAGGTCCCAGGGAGATGCTGCACGTCTCGTGGCGTCTACGAACCGCGCAGACTCGCGGTCGTCTTGTCGGGCCAGAAGAAACTTGTCGTGGGACTGAAAAGCTGCCGGACTCACCCAATTTGATCCATTTATGAAGAAATAAAAGAACACGTCGGGATCTTCAGAAATAGGTGACAGTTTCCTCATTCACCGCTCCACAGGGAGGAGAATCCCGCAGATCTGGTAGCCAGAGTGTGCCTGTGCGCTCACACGCTGCTTCAGCGCTGTGACGGGCGCGGTTCTGGCTCTTGAAAGCCAAATCTGTGGCCTCAAAGGTATTTCAGACACACGTTAGAACAAAATTGGTGCCACATGTGCAGAGGCTGTGCTGTGCGAGGAGCGAGGGAGCTGCACTCGGGTCAGTGTTAACACAGAATTTCGTACAGCTGAAGTGTTCTTTTGCCGCGTGTTTGCTGTGTTCATTTTCAGTATCTGCGCCGTTAAAAAATTTTTTAAAGGTCCCGTG